TTTTATTGATAAACAGATAGCAATGAGACAGTTTCAAATCAAATCGGAAGTACAGTTTCAACAAATAATACACTGCATATATTCTTCTTAGTGGTTGATTGCTGTACAAGAAGATCAGTCTTGTAGTGATCTTGTTTTCAGCCTTCATAAAAGTAATTTTATGCACAAACTACGTGAAATCATCCCATTCTAATAAACCTGAAACTCTTTGTCTTCTGAATGTTATAAATTCTTACTGCTCAGCAATATGCCAGTAATATTACAGAATAATCTAATTACTAATAAAAGATAGTATGTTTTATGTCTTTGTTTATGGTGGAAGGGATGGATTTTTGAGACTCGAATATTTATAATCTTTCTCAATCACTTGTTGGATGTATAATTCTTGACAATTTACTTAGTCTTTCTGAATCTCAATGTTTAAATGAAATGTACCTAAAGATACATGTTTTGGGGGGGCCGGGGAGATGGCTCAGTGGAATAAGCGCTTTCCTAGCAAGCACAAAGGTCTGAGTTCAATCCCTGGTTCCGCCAAAAAAAAAAAAAAGATACATGTTTTGGGACTTACTATGAGGAAGGAAAGCAATAATTTGGCACAAAACATGTACTCAATAAATTATAATGGCTGCTAATATTCTTTTGTTTTTTCCTGGTCCTTTTGATACAGGGTCTCCCTATGCAGTTCAGGCTGAACTTGAGCTCACTTTGTAGCCCAAACTGGTCTTGAATTCACAATCCTCCTGCCTCAGTCTCCTGAGTGCTGGAATTACAGGCATATGCCACCATGCTTGGCTTATTTTTTTAATTTTATTATCAGTATTAAGTTGGTTATACCAAAATTAACCCTCAAATAAATATACAGAAAATAGAGAGAGATATATGCCTTAGATGAATATAAACAATACAGAGAGAAATACACTATTCTGTAAGACAAGCATGGATCCTCCTTTGCTTATTCCCACCTCAGTTTTGGCTTTGTTTGTTTGTTTGTTTTGGGTTTTACGAGTACTATAGGTTAAACCCAGGGACTTCATACCCTGTTACATAGCCAGCCTTTTTTTAATTTTATTTTGAGGCAGAGCCTTACTAAATTGGCTTAGTTGAACAGGCTGGTGTGGAACTTTCCTATCCTATGGCGTGGAACTCAGCCACCCAGGATGCTGTGGGATTCCAGGACTGTCACTACACCAAGCTCTACCTGAGTTTTAAAGCAAAAAGATACCACCATAAGGCTTAGTGTAAGAATCCATAAAATCTAAGCAGTCATATTATTTGTATTTGTAGACATAAAAACAATCTAGTCACTTTGATTCATAATCCATACTTAATTTTGATTTATTTCAAAATTATTATATTCTCTCTGGTATTGATGAAAAATAATCCATTTCTATAAAAATCTGAAAACATTTAATTCTATTGCATGCAATAGAAAGGCAAAAGTCACTTAAGCAAAGAACTTATGAGAATCGGATTCATAAGGAAAAATATTTCATATGAAAGCAATAATAGGGATTTTCTGGACTTTTGAATATTAAATACAAACAACTCAGTATGTTATATTTGAATACATCATGGCCAACTACTACTAAAATAAAAGCCTGGCTATGAAGTGTTAAGAGTAAAATCTCAATTCTTCAAAACTATGTATTTTAAAATTATTAATTGGCCTTGAGGAACAAAAGCAAAATATGCAGCTAGTAGAATCAGCCACTTAAGTGCAAGGCATAACCTCTGGAGTTCTAACTTGCATGCAGAACAGTCAAATTTTAGATATTATCTACATCATAATAGTATTATGTATGGGTAATAATACCAATGTAGTTATTTATCAACCAAAACTTTCTATTCAATTTAATATTACCATTAACATATTAACATTAATATTAACATTACCAAAGTGAGAACTCCACTCTCAAGAATAGGAGCCAGACAGCCCCCTAGCCTCTCAAATGCCAAACCCTGGCTAGAAATGAAAGACAAACCCTAATATACATTACGAAATACACATCCACAGACTCAGAGAAGCTGAGTGATTATGGGAATATTTGTCTAAAATGACAGAAATGCCAGCCTTGCCATCAATCAGGTAAATTTAATTTTAAATGACTATCAGTCCCTCGTGACCACCAATAGAATCCATGAGCATGTGATCACCTTCTATTCCACTCTATCAATAGGTTCCTGTTCAATCCTGTCTGATATACTCTCTCACACATCAAAACTCTGTGCGTTTACTATTTTGCACTTTTAACTTCCAGCACAAACATTAATAATGGGTGTACAGAATATATTTGAGGGAAAAAAATCATTATCAAGGAATCTCATGATAGGAGGGGAAAAGAATGTTCTCTTTATGTCATAATTTATGAGAATCCATGAAAAACTATCAAATACTTGTTAGACATGTCTACTTTTTTTTTTTTTCTTTTTTGCGGAACCGGGGATTGAACTCAGGCCTTCGTGCTTGCCAGAGAAGCACTTATTCCACTGAGCCACCTCCCCAGCCCCAACATGTCTACTTTTATAGATACATATAAATGTGCATGTACCTACATACACACATACGCAATTCTTTCTCCAGCTGTTTCATACAAGTGCCGCACTCTGAAGAACATCCTATTCAAAGGCAGCTTATTCAATCATATCCCTGCCTGATATGGACCATAATAATATTATTGATAATCAGCTGCACTATCTAATAAACCTTATGTAAAACTTCCTTTAGTAAAAAGCACAAGTTGGAGAATGCCAAAGAGCAATATAATAAAAAAGGAGCAAGAAAACATAAACTTTTCTTTTGATGATAAACATTAGAATAGTACAGTATGTAAGATATTAATTTTATTATCTGAAACTAGTCAAGCCTTGAAAATTCTTCCATGAATACAAACACATCTTAATTTGAAATTTTTAAAGCTATCGCATGTATTAATTTACATGTGAAAAGTGGGTGTAAAGGAAGAATAAAGGGTAACTTTCGCATGCACTTGAAAAGCCACCACAGGCATTTTATCAAAACACACCACTTGTGCTGATGTTTACCATACCTGAACACACTGAGCTGCCGTGCTGCATGTTAATAAGGAATGCAAAACAGAAACAAGGAAATGTTAGCAGAATAAAACTCAAAACAGTTGCATGGAGGATTATAAAAATTAAAACACAAGTTTTCATATTTAGTCTTTAAGGTGGATGAGTAATCTAACAATTTATTTTGAACTCAAATCATGCAGCTCTTAGTTGTAAGTGGATTACCCAAGTGACTGGCTTCACTGTTAAAATATTTTTCCCTTTTCAGGTTTCAGAGAAAGTTCCACAATCCTGTTCCAGGAGTCCCCTTCAGGACAATTGGTTAATTCACTTATTAGAGCAACACAGAGATTTAGAGAAAAAAGATATGCCTTTTACATTATGTCTATTCATAATGTTGCTTTAAAGAAGAAAAATACTGGTTATTACTTAGCATGAAGCAAAAATAACTGTTGTCAAAATAAAGCACTCCCTCAAAGGCAGGGTACTAACAAAGGTTGTAACATTAGAAGTCAAGTATTCATTGTCACTAAAAAAATAGGAGGCTGTCAGAGTTGTTCCTAGTTTTGAGGGTGTGAGCTTCCATAAAGAGCTTTTCAAAATATTCAAGAACACAGTAAGTACTGGTGGCTCCACTAGCATCACTGTGAAAGGGACCACAGGACCAATCCCACGCCAGCACTTACTTCTCTTCTGTGACACAGCCTGCAAGCAAGCGGTCACGATATCACAGTTGGTCTGGACCTTATGCAGAAGCCGGTCCTTCTGCTTCAGCTGCCGCAGTAGCTTGGCCGACTGAACGCCAATTCTATACTGCAGCTCTTGGAGGATCACCTTCAACTCATTGGCATCTATCAGTAGAGAAAACAAAAATGAAGCAGTGAATAGCCCACCAGGAATACAAATCCCAATGTGACACCAGTAAGAGATAAATATCTAGGACATCTGTTTAAACCACATCATTCTAGGTTCTTGCCTGACTACATGTATGTATTCAGTTGCTATGTTCTGATCAAACGAGTCATTTAATGCTTCCCTATAAAATACTATAAGATAAATTTGAATAATACTGTAAGACAAATTTTAACGCTGATGCTGTCAGCAAAGGTTACTTTTCCTGTGGCCAGCTCCTACGACACAGTCACCTTTCATTGCCTGAAAACTGGCTTGTGTATTTTGTATCATTAAAGTGCTCTGGTGGTGAATTTGCATGACAAGAATCTTCTTTAGATCCTTTATATTAATGCTAAACTTAACAGCTGCTAAGTTTTTCTTTTTAAATATATTTAGTACAAGGTCTACAGGGTTTCACTATACAGATTGGGAGTCATAGTGATTTTCCTGTTTTCAGCCTCCCACGCACTGGGATTATGGGCACGTCGTTGCCACCATGCCCAGTCTCAATCACTGACTCAGCATGCCCCGGGGGCAGGGCCAGCCCAGCATACTGGAATCAAACCCGGCCTCTGTGCCCTGCCTAAGCAGACACTTTAGTCTGCTGAGCTATCTGGTCGGCCTAACAACTGCTAATTTTTAAAGCATTTATCTTTGTAAATTATCATGGAGAGAAAATAATTTTGCCACATTTTTTAAGGTAGATAAATATGGCAATACTGATTTTGCTTTAAATCTATAGTTCCCCAATAGTCTATCTACTAAGTACAACATTTCATTTTAGAAACGCAATACTGAGAATGGAGATATGGCTCAGAGATATAAGTACCTGCCTGGCAAGCGCAAGGGCCCAAGTTTGATCCCCTGTACCAAAAAAATTTTCAAAAATAAATAGAAATTCAGTACTTTAGAAAAGACATTTCCTTTAAACAGATAAATCAGAATGTCTGCCTTCTTCAAACTAACATTCATAAGAGTATACGACGGGAGCTGGCCAGAGAGATAGCTCAGCAGACTAATGCGCCTGCTTAGGCAAGTGCAGGGACTGCTGTTCCATCCCCAGTACCACATGCAGTGCTGGCCCCACCCAGGGTGGGCTGAGCTGGCCACAGAGTCCAGGTATAGTGGCACAAGCTTGTAATCCCGGCACTGGTGAAGCTGAAAGCAGGAGAATCACTACAAGTCTGAGCTGCATAGTGAGACCCTGTAACAACGAAATACATCTTTAAAAAGTACATATATGAATGATATAAAAACTCACCTCATTTTCCATGACTAAAATACAATATCCATGAATTTGTAATTGTCTGAATTATATGTACCACATGATTTTCAGACCTGAGTGTGGAAATGTTCTCACAGCAGTATCTGCTAGGATGTAAACATCCAAGGGACAGAAGCAAGAACTTTGTGTGCTCTGCACATTCCTTTGCACAGTGTTAAATAATTGAAAAGTGAGGGCTGGTGAGAAGGTTCAGTGGGCTGGTGAGATGGCTCAGTGGACTAAAGCACCTACTTAGAACAAGCTTAGCAAAGCACAGGGACCACGGTTCAATCCCCCAGCACCACATGCCAGCCAGCTCCGCACCCTAAAAAAGGCAACAATTAACTCTCGAAGGAATTCCAGGATGTGTGATAATCAAAAATATTTCAGGGAGATAGCTCAGTGGCACAGTGCCTGCCTGGCAAATACAAGGTCCTAAGTTTGATTCCCAGTACAAAACAATAACCTCTGACAGCCAGTCATGGTGATGCATGCCTGTAACTTAGGAGGATGAGACAGAAGGATCACACTGAGTTCAAAGCCAGCCTGTGCTTACATAGTGAGACCTTGTCTCAAAAAAAAAAAAAAAAAAAGAAAAACAATTGGGCCAGCCAAATAGCTCAGCGGATTAAAGCACCTGCAAGCAGGCAAAGGAGCTGGAGGTTTGATCCTTGGGCCTGCCATGCCGGCCCCGCCCCAGCAGGCACTGAGACGGCAATTGACATGTAACATGAGCCTGTAATCCCAGCTCTTGGGAGGCTGTAAACAGGCAGATCACTCTGCACCCGATCTAGTAGTGAGACCCTGAACACCCTCTCTAGACCTTTCCCTAAAAATACAAAAAAAAAAATCTTTTAAAATCTCTAACACTCAGCACTTCACATACTTTCATGCTCTGAGGTAGGTATTATTATTATTATTATCATTATCATCCCTCTTTACAGGAAAGTGAGACAGCAAGACCACACAGCTAGTAAGGAGCTATGGCAGGATATCAGCCAGGAGTCCAACTCCAAAGTTCATCCTCTTCACCATGGAAACACTGAGGGTCCAGAATTCCTGAGAAACCATTCTGACACCTCACCTAAAGAAAGGACCTGAACATGTCAGATAGCTAAACAGGTGCCACATGGGTACTACAAAATTCCTAACAGTGAGAAGAAAGAATTAATGCACAGGTCATCAGTATTATATAAGACTCTGGGTGAAAGCAGAGTAGTTATTAGGAGGGAATATATGACACTGAAAAAGTCACCTAATAAGCAACATTATTCAAGCAGACCACTGTATCTATCACCAGATTCTTTAATCTTAGCATCCTAGTGATGTTTACCAATAGAAATTGTGTGCCATTAGAGTATGGCACCTTGTTCCTTCTAACAGGGCTGACTCCAAGGAAAGAAAGGGTCAGCTGGCAACTTGGCAGACATTAAAACTGAACCCAGGGCAAAATGGATTCTTCTAGGCCTTGTTTATGGTGAGCAGAATGGTCACTCATATGAACTCCACTTGCAAAGCTTCAGCATTGCCTTCTCTAAATTTTGGCTTGCCAATTTTTCTCTTGCAAAAGGAAATAACTAATCCCCCAAATCCCTCAGTAATTAAAAATGAATAGCCCTGTAGAAAGAGAAAGGCAAATCAATTCTTCAGAATTGATTTTGTTGGAGTCTGAAAGAACTGTCACCCCATGGAACTTCTGGCATGAATACACCCTGTGTATAATCGTATAAAGAGAAATGTCACAACTCCAGCCAAAGTCCTACACAGAGGGAGGAAGGTAGAAGCCACTTGCAACAAGCAACTGGGGAAAACAAATCTTCACCAGGAAGCAAAAAGAGGAAGCCAGAAGCTGTCTACATAGATAATCTGGAAAAAAAACAACAGATTTATTCTCCCCACCCACCCACTACCACCAGCAGCTAGACTGATTTTACAATGAGAAGATAGGAGACCATTGTACAATACCCTATCCTTCAGCTCTCTCCCCATAATTGAACACAAGCTCATTATTTCCTAAATGTTATTGCGGCTTAGTTTTTATTTCTCACACCTCACTAATTTTGTAAACTGAAATCATGTTGTATCTATGCAAAAAAATAAAGTACTAACTATGATAGCGTTTGAGAGACAAGCTATGATGAACATTTGAGGAAAAAAAAAATCTCAATCAGGACATGAGCTTCAGTTTGATAACAAGCGAAACGCCAAATGACCCTCTCCTGGATGTTGTCTCAGATCAACCACTCCATGCCAACTGAAGATCCCAGCAGTTAAATTCTGTAAGGCATGGGGGCCTGGGAGATGGCTCAGTGGAATAAGTGCTTTCCTGGCAAGCACAAGGGTCTGAGTTCAATCCCTAGCTACACACACACACACACACACACACACACAAATTCTTCGAGCCAGTGCCCAGTAATCCGCAGAGAGAACAAAACAAAATTAAAAAACACCTAGTGAGCTGTTTGGAACCTTAAGTTCTGGCAGAAATGGAATTCATATGCTGCATATGCTGCGCTTTGAAACTGAATTATGGAATTAGTCTGCCAAACACTATCCAAGTGGTGTGGTTAGGTAGGGCAGATTTTAAACAGCCAAAAACCAGCCCTAGGATTCGCCTCTATTCTCCAGTGCCCTGTGGGGAACCTCAGGTACACACATCAGAAACCTAAGAAACTCCAAACCGATCCTAACAGCTGTCACCTGAACTAGAGTTCTGAGTGGCGCTCTCTTGGGATTCCAGGAGCACCTGGGGGACAGGGAAGGAAAAGCCAACCTTGCCGGCTACGGATGCGCTAGGCGCCCCCCGGGAGGGGACGAGAAGGTTGGGGCAGATCTAAGTGGAGTCAGGAATACCGGGCGTGTGGCACCAGCGTCAGACAGGAGCAAAGCGTCCCCGAACTCCCAGGGCGCGCTCGGCCGGGCGCAGGCGTCCCCGCCCCGCCCCTCACCTTTCTGCTGCAGATACTGCATCTGGAGCCGCAGGCTGGGGCCCGCCGCCGGCCGGCCGCCCAGGAACGCGTCGGGGCCCGAGGCCTCGGTGGAGCTGTCCAGGCTGTCGCGGCGCCGCTGCGGGTCCCCCGGGGCGCGGC